TCTTAGCGTTTCCTCACCGCAATTTGCTTTAGCGTAAGGGGTTAATCGACAATAGATGTACCATAACTTTACCAGCTTTACATCAAGGCAGTAGGATGCCAAAGCAGTGTGTTTGATGAGCATATCAGAAACGGTGCAAATCATCAGCCATTCCTACTACGTACCTACAGTGAAGTTAATAGTAAGTTGGGAAAATATGATTTTACCTTACCTATCTTGTAGCTCCCCCTTTTTTCCCAAAAGATCTAACTTTTTGAGAAATTGTATAAATGCTTTAAGTTAGTATTTTCAATCGAATTTTTTTTCAGCTTGTTTCATTCTCTGGCTTTGACGAAAGTGAGAGGGCGGCAATGAAGTTTATGGTGGAAACGATGGGAGCTAAATTCACGCCATATCTTAGTCGTCTCAATAATCTACTTATTGCAAAAAGGTTGGCTTTTCTATAATAATTCGAACTCTGTATGGGGTCTTCGTTTCCTATTGTGTCTTTGTGTTCTCAAATGTTTGTAAATATCACTATCATCGCTAGCAGCTAAAATCCCGATTATGTCCCATTGCGCACACAGATTAAATGCATTTCACACACCAAATCTAGGAAACGATGTTCTTTAGCTATGGTATTTGATAAACTTGTGCGCTAGCTTTGATCAATATGAGCTTTCGGAATCTTGTTATAGTATGCAAATGGAAAAGGGGGAATCCCCACATTTTATGCCTTTTCTGGCATCGTTTAGAAAAGAATTTAAAGGTTGCTTTTTTAGTGTTGGTGTGGAAAAAGTCGAAAAGGCGCGAGAATGGGATATCCCAATCGTGAACTACCAGTGGCTAGCTGATAGTTACGCTGGACAAAGAGTGGAAATCGACAATCCGCGATATCAGGTTAACCTTTTTGCTCTTCCCTTTAAACATACTTTTCCATTCGATATTTTTGTTTTTGTTTATTCATTCCTATGATGAGGTCATCCTTTTCAGGTAGGACAACCATGTGAAGGCGTATCACCTGGTCCATATGCCCTCGAAATGATCAACGATCAATTTAAACAGCTTCTTCGTAAGTACATTATGGCATGGTTTTTTTAATATCTGCCATATTCTGTTCTAGTTGCCTGGAAAATGCCCATAATTGTGTCGCCAGAGCAGTGGCGGCGATCATTTGACACAAAACAAGCAGTAGAGAACGACGAAGGGGTTTTCCCTAACAAGAAACTTCGGTAATTCATCGATTGGAGACTAATTTACAATTTTAAAATCTTATTGTTGCATTTTTGCTTCTACTTGTTATTTTTGGTTGAATTTTAAATTGTATTTGAAATGAGATTAAATATTAATCTTATGTTCAGGGCTCAGTCAGCCCCTCCCAGTGAAGCAGAGATTGCCGCGAAAGCAGAAGAGCGCAAAAAGGCTGGCGGTAAACATCCAGAGTATGTGGTAGCATTCTGTGGAATAGATGAAGAGAATAAACATGTGCTGACTCAGGTCGGTCATAACTGCTATTGATTAT